TCCACGTACCCAGGATTAGTCAAGCATGTAAGAATCTTTAAAACAGAATAAAGGAACAAAGAGGGGAAATGCCCAGTGTGCTGTTTACAGCTGGCTTCCTATCTACTAAACATCTTCTGCTGCGTACTTTAGAACTGACCACACACGTTCCAAGGGCATTTTACTCTGATCCTTTCAGGTTATTTTTAACCCTGCAATCTCGAGTTTTCTCAGAGATCTCGGAGTCTGAGCGAACACGCGCCAGTGGTTGTTGTGGTGTTCTGTTTCCCACACCCCATAATCAAAGCTGGAAAAACTTGAGCAACAAAATACATAATGAAGCTTTGGATTATAACCCAAAGTATAAAATATCCATGAGTTCATATCGATATGACTAATTGCATAAATATATAAAGGGGTAAATAGGCAAAACTCCTATGCTGAAGAATTCAAGCAAACTTATTTAGATACTCAAGCCCTCAGCCACAACTCCCCACTCCTAAGTGAAGCCCAAGTGACTTGCTTCCAAAGAGTACAGGATGGAAGGGCTTAAAGTTTACAGTGGAGACACCTGACAAACATACCTCAGCCAGGTGACCAAGGTCAATGACCTTGACAAGTCATGTTGGTAGCATGTACTCTTGATAGGCTCGGATGAAAATGGCTAAAACTTTACCTCTGTGGTCTTCCTCCCCAAACCCCATAACCCCACTCTAATCATGAAGAAAAATATCAGGCATATTCAATAGAGGGACACTCTACAAGAAAGGTATCTTGCCCAGTCCTCCTCAAAACAAGGCCATCAAAGACAAGAAAAGGAAAGTCACAGCCCAGAGGAACCTAGGGAGACATGACGACCAAATGTCATATGGGGTCTTAGATGGGGTTCTGGGACAGAAAAAGGACATCAGGTGGAAACTATGGAAGTATGAAAAAGCATGGACTTTAATTAATAATTATGGGTCAACACTGTTCATTGATTCTAACAAATGTGCCAAAATAAGATAAAATATTAATCATAGGACAAACTGGATATGGGATATATGGGACAATTCAATAACATAATAGGGTTACAAGCTTTCCCTGCATTTCCCCTGTGTTCCCACGGTCAGACACGCACATGTCTGTACTCTATCCAGACAGAGATCAGGACTATTGATCTAGCATGAAGACAACACAGACAAGTACACTGAAGTGCCTGCCAAATACAGGGAAATTGATCCTGACTGTATCCACTAGCGGGATGAGCAGAAAGCATTTGCGAACCCAAAAGCTGTCTGTCAGATGCCAGGAGCCTGGATCATCTGCACCAGCAAGGATGCCACATTTGAGACACAGCTGTGATAAATAAACCAACCTGCATCTCTGAGTATCTGGATGGCGGTACTAATATCTGAAACCCTCCATGAGGTGCTACTTCAGCTTTACAATCTCAAGGAGCAATTGTAGAAGTATCCCTTTGACCTTCCCCTAGTAATAAACCTCAAGGAATGAGTTAGGAAATCAAAACTGCTATTTTCTAGTTAATATGTACATCTATTCCCATTATCCATTCTGGGCCCAAAGAACTAACCTATTCTCACATTTTTATTAGGCATGTGTAATTTATAATTTTTCCAACTTTCTGTGCATAACCTTTGCACATTTTATCAGATTTCTACATTTTGCACTTGATTTAGAAGAGCTCTTAAAAATATTAATGATAGTGTCCTTTGTTACTAAAATATAATTAAAAACATTTCCCAGTTGGTATTTCTTTCATCTTCCACTATTAGACATTTTAACTTTTTAAAAAAATATTTTATTTATTTATTTGAGAGAGAGAGAGAGAGAAACAGCATGAGAGGGGAGAGGGTCAGAGGGAGAAGCGGACTCCCCGCTGAGCCGGGAGCCTGATGTGGGATTCGATCCCAGGATTCCGGGATCATGACCTGAGCCGAAGGCAGTCGCTTAACCAACTGAGCCACCCAGGCACCTCTTAACTTTTTATTTTTCAAATAATCATAATTTTATTTATATTTTTTCTTTGGATGTCATGAATTTCACTTCCTAAGTATAGAGAAATACTGGTTTTTCTTTTCTTTATTTATTTTTAAAGATTTTATTTATTTGACAGAGAGGGACACAGCAAGAGAGGGAACACAAGCAGGGGGAGTGGGAGAGGGAGAAGCAGGCTTCCCACTGAGCAAGGAACCCGATGTGGGGCTCCATCCCAGGACCCTGGGACCATGACCTGAGCCGAAGGCAGTCGCTTAATGACTGAGCCACCCAGGCACCCCTGGTGTTTTCTTTTAGGATTTTTGTTTTCTTATGTCTAAATTTTTAATCCATCTGAAACTTATTTGGCCCTCTTACTAGAAGAGAGGGCTATAAATTGAATCATTTCTTGCCATAAGTTATATATTTTATTATATATTTTTTAAAGATTTTATTCATTCAGTTGAAAGAGAGAGAGCACGCACACAAGCAGGGCAGTTGCCAAGGGAGAGGGAGAAGCAGATTCCTCACTGAGCAGGGAGACTGATGTAGAGCTCGATCCCAGGATCCTAGGATCATGACCTGAGCCGAAGGCAGAGGCTAAACTGACTGAACCACCCAGGTGCCCCATATTTTATTATATTCTTGAGTCTTTTTATACAGTTCCAAGGACTTCTCTGTTGCAGAATTTCTCAACATTGGCATTATTCACATTTTGGGTCAAATAATTCTTCAGGGGGGGGGCCGATCCTGTGTATTTTAAGATGTTTACAGCATCCCTGGTGTCTACTTACTAGATACTTTTATCTCTCCCTCTTCCACATCCCCAGCAGTGACCCAAAAATGCCTCCAGATATTTCCATATGTCCCTCAGGGGCAAAATCAGCCCTGCTTGGGAACTATTGGTCTCTTATAATGGCAACAGACCATTTCAATTATTTGTACTTATTATTTTAATTGGTACATCTGATCAGAAAATTCTTCATTCTTCATTTACAATATTTGCCTAGCTACTCCTTGCACTACTTTTCAGAGATTATTTTTTTTAAGATTTTATTTATTTATTTATTTGAGAGAGAGAGAGAATGAGCCAGGGGGAGGGGCAGAAGGAGAGGGAGAAGCAGGCTCCCCGCTGAGCAGGGAGCCCGATGAAGGACTTGACCCCAGGACCCCAGGATCATGACCTACGCCAAAGGCAGAGGCTTAACCGACTGAGCCACCTAATTTCCCATACTTTTCAGAGATTCTTTTAGAATTATTTTATTATGAAGCACAGAGAAGTCCCTGATGAAAATTTCATTGGAAATTTCTCTAAATTTTATGGCTGTGTTTAGAGAGATGTGCGTCTTTGCATTGAGAAGTCTTCAATCCCACAAAGTTGCTTCTGTATCATGAAAACGACACCTCTGTCACTTCATCAGGAAACACTTGTAACTGTTCTTACACAGATCCTGCATGTGGTGTTAAGCCTGTTCCTCAATATTTTATACATACATATGTGTGTATATATCATGAAAATGCAATTTTAGTCCAATAACACATCATCTATTGTAAATAATGTTATCTACTAAATTGACTTTTTAAAATTTTACTTATTTGAGGGCGCCTGGGTGGCTCAGATGGTTAAGCGTCTGCTTTCGGCTCAGGTCATGATCCCAGGGTCCTGGGATCGAGTCCCGCATCGGGCTCCCTGCTCCTTGGGAGCCTGCTTCTCCCTCTGCCTCTCTCTCTCTCTCTCTCTCTCATGAATAAATAAATAAAATCTTTAAAAAAAATAAAATTTTACTTATTTGAGAGAGAGAGTGAGAGAGAGACCACGAGCAGGGGGAGGGGCAGGGGGAGAAGCAGGCTCTGGATTGAGCAAGGAGCCCAATATGGGACTCAATCCCAGGATCCCTGGATCATGACCCTAGTGGAAGGCAGATGCTTCACCAGCTGAGCCACCCAGACATCCCTACTAAATTGACTCTTTCATCAGTTCTAACAGTTTTATAGCTGTTTGAAAACGTCTTTAGTTTCCTCAAGAAAGCAAAGCTAGCCCCTCTAACCTCCACACCTGCTTCGGTCCTGTTGTTTATATTGATCCTCCCTATGGATGCGGAGGCTTGGGAACTGAGGCGCCGCTACACAGACTGTCCACAAAGCCACCGAGGGGACAAAGAATATAAATGGGACGTTGGCAGGAAAAACCCTGATCACGTATTAAAATGGCAGAAATGAAATCTTAAAGCAGCAAATCAGATTCAGATGTTTTAAGTGTAGTTAATACAAATGTTTAAAAACCAACAGGTTTTGGGGCGCCTGGGTGGCTCAGTCCGTTAAGCGACTGCCTTCGGCTCAGGTCATGATCCTAGGGTTCTGGGATCGAGTCCCGCATCGGGCTCCCTGCTCCGCGGGGAGTCTGCTTCTCCCTCTGCCGCTCCCCCTGCTGTGCTCTCTCTCTCTCTCTGGCAAAAAAATAAATCTTTTAAAAATAAATAAATAAAAAAAACCCAACAGATTTCGAGATCAAACTAGCACAACTGTGTTTCCCCTGAAAATTCGGCCCTGAAACAAGTTTTCAGGGTAGGCGCCGATATACTAGCAGTGGTGTCCCCCAAGGCCGCGGGGCCGACCCCTGACTCCGGAGACCCCGAGCCCTCCAGTCCCGTCCCGCTCCGGGCAGCGGGCGCTCAGGACCTCCCGGCCCAGGAGGACGACGTGGGCGGGGCGCCGCGCTGCGGACAGACGCCCGGCGCAAAGCGGGGCGAGCGGGCTCGGCTCGGAGCGCGGACCGAGGCAAGGAGTCCAGGCAGGGAGAGGGCCGAGGGGCAGAATAGGGGTTCCGTCCAGCTCGGCCACGTGACCTCCACCCCGCCCGCCACTCAGACTGCGGGGCGGTGCAGACAGGAAAATCGACCAACCAGAGGCGCCGCGGCCAGGGGCAATGTCGAATCCGGAGCCGCGGGAGAGGGCGTGCCCGGAGCACTGTCCAATCAGCACTGTCCAATCGCGCCCGCGCGGGACGTCGCTCCCCGCGCGCCGCGGGCTCCTGCGCAGCCGCCCCGCGCGGCCCGCTGTTGTCCCTCGTCCGAGCCGCCGAGGCGCGGCCGGGGCTCCTGGGAGCCTGGGTCGGGGCCGCGAGATGGTGAGTGTGTGGGGCCCGGCCGAGATCCGGAGGGGCTGGCGCGAACCGGTTGGAGGCGGCCCGAGTCCGCCCCCGGCCGGGGGGTGGGGTCCCGGCGTCCTGTGAGGTCCCTTACACGGAGAGAGGGTCTGGCACACTCCGTACCTAGGAGGCGTCCGGTGAGAGGGAGGGATGCTGGTGCCCACGGACTGAGTTTCTCCCGTGGGGAAAGCGAGGATTAGGGGCAGCGCTTGAAGGTCAAGGACAGAGAGTGAGTCGGGATCGCATCGACTCCGTGGGTGAATTCGAGGTGGGACTGAGCGCTTTCCGGCCCGCGGACTTGGTATGTCTCTTTGGATCGAAAAGCACAACCTCTGTTGGGTTTATTACCATGCATCCAGTATTGGTGCTGATTTAAATGCTATCTTTTAAAATACTGTTACTGGTATATAGAAGTGAATTCATGTTTGAGCAATATTCGTTTAACCAGTGTCCCTGTGAACTGCAGGTGGAGATTTTACGTATTAACCGCCTGTAAATTATTTGAATCTTTATATGCAGGATCTTATCTGCACATAGTGATAGTTCAGTCTTTTTCTTCTATCATTTTGCCTTTCATTTCTTGTTCTTTACTGATTCACCAGGGCTTCCATCCAGTTCGGTGTACAATAAGGAGCGCCGTGTGTCTTGCCTTCTTGACAAGGGAACTGTTTTTACTACTTCAGAATTTCCACTCAACATTGCAGTAGGGGTTTTGATGCACCAGCTTTCACAATTAGCCATGTTCCTTCTAGTTCCAGGGTATTAAATGCTGCTATACATTAATAACAGTAATACATCGCTCATTGCTTAAGATGTAAGGACATGAATTTTGATTTTTCTATATTTTCTATTAATGGAGTAAAATGCACTAAATTGAGGGGTCAATTTTTAGACATTCTTGCATTCCTGAAATAAAATGAGTTTGCAGCTTGGTTTTGATTTATTATGCACGTTATTCATTACTCTATTTAGGGTAGTAATGTGTGGTTTGTTGTTGTTTTTTATAGACTTTTGCCCTTATATTTGTTAATGTTAATATTTACCTCCCCTCCCCCAGTTATATTGCTCTGCTCTTGGCATATCTCTGAAAAATGAATTATTTTCTAGAGGTAGAATTATTAATCCCTTTAGTATTTAGTACAACTGGCCTGTAAAACAATTTGGGATTTTTGTTTTCTTTCTGTGAATATTTTAATACACTCTTTTAGGGGCGCCAGGTGGCTGAGTCATTAGGCATCTGCCTTTGGCTCAGGTCATGATCCCAGTGTCCTGGGATTGAGCCCCACATCAGGGTCCCTGCTCAGCGGGGAGCCTGCTTCTCCCTCTCCAGCTCCCCTTGTTTGTGTTCCCTCTCTCGCTGTCTCTGTCAAATAAATAAATAAAATCTTTAAAAAAATAAAATAAAAAATAAAACACTCTTATTTTCTTTAAGCTACTTTAAACTTTCAACATCTGAATATCACAGAAGTACTCAGAATTTTGTTTATTTATTTTTAGAGATTTTACTCATTTATTCACATATTTATTTGAAAGAGAGAGAGAGCCTGCGAGCAGGAAGAGGAGCAGAGAGAGGGCACCTGGGTGGCTCAGTTGGTTAAGCGACTGCCTTCGGCTCAGGTCATGATCCTGGAGTCCCGGGATCGAGTCCCACATGGGGCTCCCTGCTCGGCGGGGAGTCTGCTTCTCCCTCTGACCCTCTTCCCTCTCGTGCTCTCTATCTCTCATTCTCTCCCTCTTTCAAATAAATAAATAAAATCTTAAAAAAAAAAAAAAAAGGAGCACAGAGAGAGGGACAAGCAGACTCTGCGCTGAGCGTGGAGCCCGACATGGGGCTGGATCCCACAACCCTGAGATCATGACCTGAGCCAAAATCAAGATTTGGACACTTAACCGACTGAGCCACCCAAGGTGCCCCTTGCAGTACTCAGAATTTTAAAATGTTAGATCATTCCCCTCTTTTTTTTTTTTAAAGTAAAATGTACTAATTGATGGATCAATTTTTAGACATTCTTGCGTTCCTGAAATAAAATGAGTTTGCAGCTTGATTTTATTTATTATGCACATTATTCATTACTCTAATTAGGGTAGTAATGTGTGTATATATATATATTTTGAATTCCAGCTTTTTTTATTTTTCCCCTTCAAAATGATTCCATGATGGTTTAACCCAGGAAGCCAACAGTAAGAAAGTCACTATCAGATAGGTGAGCAGCAGGCTGTGGACCTGCAGTCCCACCCAAGCAACTGCAGCAAGAGAAACAATCATGGTCATGAAGTACATTTTAGGCTTTTCTTCCTGTAGTGTAAAGAGGTGTTTCCACCAGCCCACAGCTCTGCGTGGAGTTTTACCAGATTGCTACAAATTTCATGGAATCTTTGCTGTTGCTCAGGATTCATTTATTGGAGCCAAAAATTCTAGGAGCCAGAATGGGAACAAGGTAGTCAGCCAAGCACAAAAACATAACAAAACAGGAAACACTGGACAGAACAGACGGATCTAGATACTAGAGAAACACCAAAGAAACCACACCCACGATGGCAGGTGGAAACCAGGCTCTTTCCCATCTGAGGACTTTATCAGCCGTCAGCATCGCTTCTCCCCACCCCTGCAGCTGCTCGTCCAGACTTGCAGTCTCTGCAGCCTGCTGGATGGTGTTGCGATTATCTCCTTCCACCATCGTCCCTGAGGTGCTGCCCTAGTGAGTGCAAGCCACGCGCCAAAGGAGCTTTCCACCGAAACCCACCCACACAGCGGCCCTGGCACCTCAGGAGATACATTTTTAGCCTCCTTTTTATATCTTTAATTTTGCCCTTGACATTTCTTTCTACTCTTTCTTCTTTTATGCAGTTGCTCTTTTTTCAAACCCTTCAGCTCATTTGTAGCCCATTGATACGGATGATCTTTCTGCTCTTGGCTCAGGGCACTTTGATTCCAGTGCCCCCTGGACCAGACTTATTTGATTCCAATGTCTCTCCGTTGGGACATGGTGAAGTTGACCAGCACTTGCTTTCCTGAGACTTTGTGAAATTGTGACATTCAGTTTCTAATTCTTAGAGTTGAAAAATTTAGTGGTATTTAAAAACAAATCAAGCCAAAAAACAACAGTCAAGTCAAGGTCTCAATTTTTAGTGTTACTTAGATGGTTATTTTATTGTTTTGGGTTTTTTGTTTTGTGTTGTTGTTGTTTTTAAAGGTTTTTACTTATTTGAGAGAGAGAGTTAGTGAACAGAGAGAGCACAAGGGGGGGGGCAGAGGAAACAGACTCCCCTCTGAGCAGGGAGTCCAGTGTGGGGCCCGATCCCAGGACCCCAGGATCACGACCTGAGCTGAAGGCAGACACTTCACTGACTGAGCCACCCAGGTACCCGTTGTTGTTTTTTAAAAGTTCTATTTATTTATTTATTTATTTATTTATTTATTTATTTATTTATTTGAGAGACTGAGCGGTGGGGAGGGGCAGAGGGAGAGAGAAAAGCAGACTCCCTCCTAAGCAGAGAGCCTGATGTGGGGCTCAATCCAAGGATCCGGAGATCGCGACCTGAGCTGAAGGCAGACATTTAACTGCCTGGCACCCCATCGGTTTTTTGTTTTGTTTGTTTGAGGTTTACCACATAGTGATGCCACAAGTCTATATGTTATGCTGCGCATTATGTTATGTTCACCAGTGTAGCCACCATCTGTCACTGTATGAAGCTATTACAATACCAGTGACGATATTTCCATGCTGTATCTTCTAACCCCATGAGTATTCTAGAAGCCTGTACCTCCCACTCCTCTTCACCCATCTTCCTACCCCCTTCCCCTCTGGCAGCCATGAGTTTGTTTTCTGGGTTTATGGATCTGTTGTTACTTTTACTGTTTTGATTTTACCCTGCCCTAGTTTGACTCACTTACCTTCTCATTCCATATGCCTTCACTGTCTGTATTTTATTTACAGCAGTTACCCTTCACCTAGATTATAGCAGATTTCCTTATTTTCCTCCCCCATGAGAATTTAAGACACAAGTGGTTCAGAATTTTCCTCTTTTTTAAAAGCACTGTACCTTTATAGCTGCATGTAGTAGGAATTACCACCTAAACAAAGGCATAGCTGAGCATGTTGGAACAGAAACCACATGGCTGGAAAAGCCTAAATGATGTACTATCTGACCTTTGTATACAGCTTGCTGACCTCTGTTGTAGGTCGTTACACATGTTGAATAACAGACATAATCATATCGTAAGGTGTATGTATGTCCAGAAATGCAGCTACTAGGACTTTAGGCTTTGAAGGCAAGCCGACTTACAACATTCAAATTGGGTAACATTGAGTGTGTTCTTTTTTTTTTTTTAACATTTTATTTATTTATTTATTTGAGAGAGAGAGAACAGCAGGGAGAGCAGCAGAGGGAGAAGCAGGCTCTCTGCTGAGCAGGGAGCCCGATGCGGGGCTCGATCCCAGGACCCTGGGATCATGACCTGAGCCGAAGGAAGACGCTTAACGACTGAGCCACCCAGGCACCTCCACATTGAGTGTGTTCTTGACTGTCCTTTTAGCTTTCCCCTGTTATATACTGATTATAATACCTACTTGGCAGATTTTTATTTTTATTTTTAAGATTTTATTTATTTATTTGAGAGAGAGAATGAGAGAGAGAGAACATGAGAGCGGGGAGGGTCAGAGGGAGAAGCAGACTCCTGCTGAGCAGGGAGCCTGATGAGGGACTCGATCCCGGGACTCGATCCCGGGACTCCAGGATCATGACCTGAGCCAAAGGCAGTCGCTTAACCAGCTGAGCCACCCAGGCGCCCTTGGCAGATTTTTATGAGAAACAAATAAGCTAATGGTTGGAAATCTCTGTGTAAAGTATTTCACACATCAGGGATGCTCACTAGTACACTGTATTGTTAAGATTGACTTGAGGCTGTTGTGGGCTTTGATGGCTTTAAAATATCACCTGACACACAGCAGTGGAAGAGTTGATTGAATTTGTCTGTGGATAAAAATTTGTTGTGAGACAACATTAGACACTAGTGTACTGAGTAACTAGGAGACCCAGTGCAGCTTTACTTACTGACCTCACAAGAAGTGTGTTCCCATTCTGGAGCCTTCTAGTTGTGCTGCTGTTTATTATTCAGGCAAATTGTAGCACCTGTATGGCAGTGAGGTAGCCTGTATTCACAGCTGTGCATGCGGAAGCCAGTGAAATGATGCACTTTCTCAAAGGCCAGGCTTCCTGGGGATCCTGCAGGCCAATGGAATCCATGTTCACGGGCTGGGCAGTTATGCTTGTCTGCATGCCAAAGGGTGTGGAATGCTTATTGTGTGTAGAGACCCAAGAGGCTGTTGTATAAAGCAGTGCCTCTGGATTTTCAGACAGTGGGAACAAATGTTCTGGAGGAAGGTGCTGCCTGATCCTTTATGAATTTTATGACCTCAACAAATTCACAGGCAAACCCTTCTGGACTTCACTTAATTCACTTCTACATGGAACTCATAACTGCCTCTTCACAGGCAGAAAGAACCAGGGCACACTTTTCTGGGACAGACAAGGGTGTTCTGGCATCTTGGGATGTCAGTCTGTGTGTTGAGGAAGAGCCATCACCCAGAACTGGTGGTTGTCAGCACCCACACCATGAATGCAGGCCCTGTGGTGAGGTCTGAACTGCCTAGCTCGTTTGTCAATACACTGCCTGTCTCCTAGAGAGAATGTAGAAAGGGAAGCATTGATGTTTCATAGAAAAACAGGAGACAGATAAGTAAATATTAATGCCTCTCATAAAGAATATTATTCCACGAGGTGGACCTGCCAGTTTATAGTGCATTGGAGTTTAAGGAAGTATATCTATCTCAGGGCCTGGGTTGAAGGTTGGGCATAACCAGGCCCCTTAAGAATCAAATTGTTGGTGAGCAGAAAAGCAGGAAATGCTCCCAGGCCCTCAACATATTTTCATTCATTAAAACCTCATCTAGGTCCAACGTTGGCTTCATGTGCTGAGGCCTGTAGTGGACAGTGAAGAAAGAGAAGAAATGCTTTTCATCACAGGAACTGATGTTTTTAAAGAGGAAATCCTTGTTTTATTTGTATAGTATTTCTTTCATATCTCCAATATATTGTGGACTGTTCTGGACCCTTCGGATGGAGGGGAAGAGTGAAAATAGTCACAAACTGTGGCAGGATGAGATCATTAGAGATGCTGTAAAATCTGTAAGGCCAGCTGGCATCCCTGAGGATGTGAGTGTTTAATACAGGGGAGGAGATAGGATGGCAAAGCCCGAGAGTGGATGGGGGGCCACAGAACCATGTGTCAGCTTGCTGTGAATCAAGCTGTGCTTCCCCAGTTAGCCTCCTCCTTCCTCCTGCACACACTGGTGGAGAATGGTACTTGTTGAACCAGAATTTGTGGGATGTTTCAGGACTCAGTGGTTTTTGAGGATGTGGCTGTGGACTTCACCCCGGAGGAGTGGGCTTTGCTGGATCGTGGTCAGAGGAGGCTCTACAGAGATGTGATGCTGGAGACCTGCAGGAACCTGGCCTCACTGGGTAAGCATGGCTCCACCCCTTCACTTGCTCTCTAGAGTATAAGTACCTGAGCTCGTTCCAAAGCTTGAGCTGAACAATGGGAATTAATTGCTAAGGAAGACAGACAGACGTAGTCACAGTACGAGAGCATATAGTCTAATAACTTTCTAATGTACATATTTGAACCTGCTACTTTCTTTCTTAAATGTTTTTAGCCTCTGTAAGGATTATAACTCTGTGCCTGAAGAGGAACAAGCATTACAGTTGGAAATATTAATTAAAAAATATATTACTCTTCTTCCTGAGGAAGTTGGATTTTGTCAGATACCCTAGCATCTTTTTTTTTTTTTTTTTTTACTTTTCATCCATCCTCACAAAGGTCCTTGTTCACACTGAAAAACCTCCCATACTTTCTCTTTTAAAGTTAGTGTTGAGCATGTGCGTTTTGTCCAGTTCCTTCCCATGTTGCTTTCCTGACAATAGGGCATTTATGTCACCATAAGTCTCAATCTTCATGGAAGTATTTCCAGTAAATTGCCCACCATTTTGGTCTCTTGTCCTTATTGTTGTCAATGTCCTGAAATAGCCAAAACTCTTCAAATTTTGTTGTGTTTTTTTGTTCAAAAGTACATTCTTCCTTATAATATTTGTTTAATTTTTGGATCACTATTTGAAAAGAAATGAATGTTTCCAATTTATTTTTTCGACTTCATCTCACCAGTTCTTTCCAAAGAAAGTAAGTAAATTTTGTTGCTATTTTTCATATTATGACACTGAAAATCAGTAGGTCGAATCCTCTATAGCATGTTTAAGGAAGAAATATGACATGAATGGAATATAGTAAGATTCAGAAGAAATATTCCTGGTTCTTCATTGTAGGTGAAAACTGGAAATGCCCTGGCATTGAACATCAGCACAAGAACAAGGGGACATATATGAGGTGAGTGGCATAGACTTGAGAGAAAGCAGGTCTCAGGAGAGAGTCTGAGTATGCCATGATAGTAATGTGTGTGTGTGTGTGTGTACATATGTAAGTATACATCAGATGTTAGGTATTCAGAGAATTTTTACCAATTTTATAAAAGTGGTGCACATGTTGATTATTTGAGACAGTTCCCCTGTAAACAGCTATCAGGAAACAAAATTCAGTATGTAAAAAACACTGAAATGGTACAAGGGATTGAGCCCTCAGTCAGAGCATTCAGCTTATATACCACTTTAGAACAGTTCTGACAGGGCAGAAAATGTACACATTCACTGAAAATGGTAAAAATGTAATCCTATTAATCATTAAAAGCCATCAGTGAATTGTTAGCTAATCATTGGTAACATGATGCCTATTTTTAACAGGTGTCATGCGGTGGAGATGCCCTCAGAAAATAATGGAAGTAATCAATGTGGAGAAACCAATCAGATTTCAAATTTTATTGTGCATAAGAGACTTTCTACTGGAGTAAAATCCTGTGAATACATTAAGTTTGAAAAAGCCATCATGGATACTACATCCCTAAAGAGTCCCATAACATCATCTCAACATGGACAGAAACCCCATCAATGTAAGGAATGTGGGAGAACTTTTATTTGTTACTCATCATTTAGGGCACACATAAGAGCTCACACTGAAGAGAAACCCTATACATGTAAAGAATGTGGAAAAGCCTTTATATACTTCTCCAAACTTAGGGTCCATATAAGAATCCACACTGGAGAGAAGCCTTATGAATGTGAAAAGTGTGGGAAAACCTTCAGATCTCCCTCAAACCTCTGGACACATAGGGAGACTCATACTGTTGAGAAACTCTATGCCTGTAGAGAATGTGAGAAATCCTTCTCTTCTCCCTCGTCTCTTAGAAAACATGCGAAGGTTCACAGTGCAGAGAAAGCCTATGAATGTAAGGAATGTGGGAAAGCCTTTCTTCATTCTTTTTACTTGATCATACATGCAAGAATGCACACTGGAGAGAAAGCCTATAAATGTGTGGAATGTGGGAAGGCCTACAGTTGGCCCTCTGACCTTAGGATTCACATGAGAACACACTCTGGAGAAAAGCCTTATGAATGTAAACAGTGCCAGAAATCCTTCAGTTCCCCCTCATCCTTTAAGGGACATTTGCGAACTCACACAGGAGAAAAACCGTATGCATGTAATGAATGTGGGAAAGCCTTCAGTAGTCTCTCATACTTCAGAACACATGTGAGAATCCACACTGGAGAGAAACCCTATATTTGTAAGCAATGTGGGAAGGCTTTCAGTTGGTCGTCATCATTTCGAGGACATTTGAGAACTCATAGTAGAGAGAAACCCTGTAAGTGTAAGGAATGTGGTAAAGTCTTCAGTAGACTCTCATCCCTACAAAGACATATGAGAAATCACAGTGGGGAGAAACTCTAAATGTAAGCAGTGTCGGAAAGACTTCTGTAGTCCCCTATCCTTAAAAAAAAGACAGGAACTCCCACAGGAGGGAAACCCTATGTCAGTAAATATGGCAAAACCATGTAAATTAACATCACTTATTGTGTACAAAAAATTGCATACTATTAGAAAATTTTTATAAGCATCTTATATCGTTGGCTTTATTAGTGCCTTATTCTTGAAGTAGGCTCCTATCACATTATTTACAATTTTTTTTTTAAGATTTTATTTATTTGACAGCACAAGAAGGGGGAGCAGGAGAGGGAGAAGCAGGCTCCCCACTGAGCAGAGAGCCTGATGCGGGACTTGATCCCAGCACCCTGGGATCATGATCTGAGCTGAAGGCAGACACTTAACCAACTGAGCCACCCAGGTGCCCCACATTATTTACAATTTTTCTGAGAAATACATTTAGGAGATAAATATTCCTTTAAGTATTACTTTGCCAAGGCAGCCCCAACAAATTGCCACAAAGTTGATAAACAGAAATTTATTCTCTTCCAGATCTGGAGGCTAGAAGTTGGAAATCAAGGTGTCATTAAGATTGGTTCCTTCTGGGGCTCCTGGGTGGCTGAGTTGGTTAAGCGTATGACTCTTGATTTTGGCTCAGGTCATGATCTCAAGAGTTGTGAGATTGAGCCCCATGTGGAGCTCCATGCTAGGTGTGGAGCCTGCTTAAGATTCCTTAAGATTCTCTCCCTCTCCCTCTGTTTCCCTACCCCTCCTCCCGCTCATGCTCTCCCTCTCTATTAAAAAATATATATAGGGGTACTTGGGTGGCTCAGTCATTAAACATCTGCCTTTGTCTCAGGTCATGGTTCCAGGGTCCTGAGATCAAGCCCCAATCGGGCTCCCTGCTCAGCAGGAAGCCTGCTTCTCCCTCTCCCACTCCCCCTGCTTGTGTTCCCTCTCTCACTGTCTCTGTGAAATAAATAAATAAATAATATATATATATATCCTTCTGAGGGTTCTGAGGAGGAACTTGATCCATGGCCACTTTACAAGCTTCTGGTGGCTACCGCAACACTTAGTATTCCTTGGCTTATGGACATTCCAATTTCTGCCCTGCCTTGACATCACCATTTCTACCTGCTTTATCCCTTTTTCTTGTAAGGACATGTGTCATAGAATTCAGTGCCCACCCTAATCCAGGATGATCTCATCTTGAGATCCTTATTACCTCTGTAAGGACTCTTCAAGTAAAGTCACATTCATGGATTCAGAGTGGACATATCTTTTGGGGGGCAACCATTTTACCCACTATATACCCTCTCAGCCAAGTTACATACCTTTTGATATATAGTGTTTTAATTATGAATTGTTTACATAGAAATTATTTATCCTATAAGTCTTTTGGACCAGATCTTTTGAAGTGTATTTTTAAATATGTAATCTTTGGGATTTTAGATCCATTTTATATCTAATTTTCATTGGGTTTCAAGCATGTGGTTATTATGATAATGATACTTTGGTGTCATTGGAATTTTGTTTCTTGCACATACTGGGACTTATATACCAGACATCTATTCTCTCTTTCCTCCTTTCTAAGAAAAACAGTATTTTTGAGGTTCTCAGTCTTTTGTATTTAAAAAAAATGTATGTTTGGCATTTCTTCTAGTTAGTGGACACAATATTTTATTTTCTGGCAGAGATTCCTCAGTGTAAAGCTGTTGAATGAAGACAACCATCATCTGACTTACTTTCCTCTTTTGCTTATTTTTGCTCACCCTAGCTCTTGGTGGGAATTGGATACAGAGCTTTGAATTAAAAAGAGAGACCTTGTTACTTGAATATGATAAAAGCTAGAGTAGCTATTTTGTGATAGACTGTGATGTATCAATATGGGTAAGCCTGGGAACATTTCCCAGAATCTTTTCCCCATATTGTCCCAGATTAGAGACGGTAAAGAGGCAAACTTTGCGTGAGATCAGGAAGGCAGAAATGAACAATATGTCATACTTAGTTTTGTGAACTATTGTACAGTAAAATATATGCATCAGAGCCTCGTGAGCACCAATTTCCAGCAGATTTTCCTGCCTTCTGGGCCCATTAATCAGGAGTGTCTGCAAACCAAATATCAGTTATTTGACTTCATCAGAGTTGGTGTCATCCACAGGCATCTTCCATAGCTCTCCTGTCATGGATCCACTTCCATTCTCACATATCCATAATTTAGATCTTTCCTGCAAGCTCCAATACATCCACCCAGGCCACTGATTTGTTTTTTGGTTGGTGACCTTTCCTGACACTCCCTCATTTCTCCAGTTTTACCATATTTGTGTTAGGTTGAATTTGTGTTGTAAATATCTTCCTATAATATGTCCAGTGGCCCTGTGTACCTGACTCCACAGGAACTTCTGAAATTTATAATTGTGTCAGAAAACACAAAGGACTTTGTTTCCTGATTGCATTGTCAAGTGGTTGCATTTACCCTGTACTTTTTGTTTCTGGACAATTCTATATGAGAAATAGGTACCTTGTAAATACACGAAGCAGACTGTGGGAATTTTTTGTTAACAGCTGAATGCGATCTCTAAATTATACTGTGTGTTCAATTACAATTTTTATGTTTGCAAAATAATTTGTGCTTTTTGGTCAAACAATATTTTGGTACTTAATTCTTGGAAGAAACCTAGTGAAACTGATTTTATATTTTCTGTATATTTAAAACATTATCTTTCATGTACTGAAAGGGTATGTTACCATATTCCAATACAATTATGGATTGTCAAAACAATACTGTAAATTTGTCTTTTTAAACATACATTCTGAGGCCATAAGACACATTTTAGTTTTTTGGTTTTTTTAAAAAAGATTATTTATTTGCCAGGGAGAGAGAACAAGCAGGGGGAGGGGCAGGAAGAGGGCGAGGGAGAAGCAGGCTTCCCGCTGAGCAAGGAGCCCAATGCAGACTTGATTCCAGGACTCTGGGATCATGACCTGAACCAAAGGCAGATGCTAAACCAACTGAGCCACGCAGGCGTCCCCATATTTTAGTTTTTTTATGTGAATTTTCATATTCTTACAATTTTAAGCAATTTCCCCTTTAAAACTACTTAATCCATTTGTAAGAATAAAACTTATATATTGGCTAGGTCAGTGCCCACCAGCCAGAATTCATGAGAAACGTGCAGTTGAACAAAATTCCTGCAGTTGGGTGACCACTTAGCATGAGGAACAATAGAACATCTCAGAAATTGCATAGTAGAAAGAACTTAGAGGAAGTGGATTTATTTCAGTTGATTTGGGGGAGGGCATCACAGAAGCAGGCTTTGCACTGGGTTGGACATTGTCAGGAAGTGTACAGTAGAATGTTAATTCAGCAGGCTTTGGTTATTCAAATTCTGTACTTTACAAAGAAAACACTAGCCCTTGACCAGCAAATTCTGAGTCCTTGGAATATTCTGCCTAATAAGGGTGTTTTGTATGTCTACATTCTTGGATCACACTGTATCAGTTTGTGTAGTTTATGCTAACAATGTGACTTATAGTGAATGCCTGCTTTTGTAGGCAAAAGGCTATAGATGATGCTGTACCAGTTTGACTTCTGAGGATGGGAGCTGGAGGTTAAGTAGCTAAGCTCAGCTATGTGGATGTTACATGGCTACATGACTGACCCCCAATAAAAGCCCTGGAGACCAAGGTCAGGTGAGCTCTGATTGTCGACACTTCACATGTGTAGTCATACATCATTGCTGAGGGTGCTATGTCACTGCTGAGAGAGGACAACTTAAAGTTTGCACCTGATTTCTCCTAGGCTTCATTCACCCTATGTGCTATTTCCCTTTGCTTATTTTAATCTATCCTTTTACCATAATTATGGTATAATGGCTCTTCTGAATCCTGTTGGTCCTTCGAGAGAATCATGAAGCCTGACAAGGCTCTTGGAGACTTATGATACAAGAAGTGAATGTAATTGTATGATTGAGAATTTCAACAGTCCGCAGAGTCCACACGTATTTGGGCTAGAGAATGTGGCCGTTTATAATCCTTTTCAAAGAATTATAGGGGCGCCTGGGTGGCTCAGTCAGTTAAGTGTCTGCCTTCAGCGCAGGTCATGATCGCAGGGTCCTGGGACTGAGCCCCATGTCGCGCTCCCTGCTCAGTGGGGAGTCTGCTTCTCCCTCTCCCTCTGCCTGCCGCTCTTCCCTGCTTGTACTTTCTCTCTTTCTCTGTCAAATAAGTAAAATCTAAAAAAAAAAAAAAGAATTGTAAATTGCATTATATGTTTGGCATTATCATTTTGATGCTATTACAGTCCAAATAACAGAACTTGTATCCTGGAAATCATAAGGGTTGTCCCTAGTTTGAAAAAGGGATAGGATCATCTGCATAGTTTTACCCCAGCATATGTCCTTTCCTATAAGCAGAATGATATCTATGCAAGCTTTTGGTGATCCATTAGATGCAAGGAAAAGAACTGTAGCTGGCGAGGTGATTTTTCCTAGGAAAAATGAAGGTGAGCAGCAAATACAGTATGTCCTTTTGAGTACTATCTTCCCCCCACCCCTGCTCGCTCTCACTCTCTCCTAAATAAATAAATAAATAAGATCTTAAAAAAAGAAAAAAAGAAAACAAACACCAGAATCTTAATTTCTGGGTAAGCAAAACGATTCTGTCCACCTCCTGGACAATGTTACAAAGAATGGCAGATAAAGGAAAGAAGGAATCTTGAGCCATCAGGCCTTTCTTGGAATCCAGCTGGAAAATAGTTACACCCCCCTGGGCCATGCTTGCCCTCACCTCAGGTACTTAGCCAGAGGGAGGTGATGGCAGAAAAAGGTGCAAAGGCCAGACTTTGCTGTGTCTCAGAGTCTCCAAGCAGGATTCTTTAGGCATAAAGACCGTAACACTCCCTACACCTCCCTCAAGGACTTCCTTCAATGTTTTACCACTATAGCTTTGCTCTGGTTATTGTAACTTCACACTGATACCTGTAAACCGCACCCCCTGACACCCGGAAGATATGTTAGCAGTCATTCTTCAAATATATGACCCATTAAAATACATCTGAAATGTCTCATGACTCATGTTTTATTATACAGTAGTAAATAACCTTATCGTAACAGCAGCTAGCCCCTCGAGGTCCTGGAAGCCTTGCTTCCAAATTCCTTAGAGACTTATGCTATCCTTAAACCCCACTAACTAAAAAGTACATAGTCAGTCACTCCTCACAATCCCAGTGCAGCTTTCTGCCCACAGGTACTGTCCCCGTGCTTAATAAAAAAACTCCTTTATGCACTGAAAATTCATGCAAATTGTCAAGAATTCTTTCTTGACTGTCCACTCCATGGCCCCACATCATAAAGGGCCTGGCATTTGTCCTACGGAGTCCTGGGACTCTGAGCTCTGGGGGAACCGTGGGTCTGAGACAAAGGCCGACCTAGTATTCTCAAGGAGGGCTCTCCTGGGCAGGACTCCAATCTTTGGCCATCTACGTCATAATCCAGGGCCTGCCTTGAGGCCACTGCAGCTCTGGCATCCCCATCCCAAACCCAGTTCTGTGCTTTTTACTGTAAGAGTTCACTAAGAGATCCCTCTCTCTCCCCACCTAGGAAACACTTCCCTGGAGCAGCACCACATAGCAATGAGGTTAGAGGGAGTAGAAAAGGGTCAGTGAAAGCTGACCCCTTTCTCCACACCCCTTGGTGGGAGAAACCGGCTCTCCAGCACCAGCAGCTCCCCAGCTCCGCAGCACGACGCCCAGTTGCCGCACCCACTTGACGGTCTCACGCCGCCTCACCCCTCCGCGCAGATGCGCACATGCGCAGTCGCAGCCCTGGGCCGCAGCCCGCAGGAGACTCAGGGCCGCGCACGTGCAATCCACGTCCGGAACCACAGCACTGTCATCTGGTTCCCTAGTCGTGTCCAGACTCCCGGCCAGGTCCGCAGAGCGCACTCCTTGGTGCCCCTGGTCTCTCACTTCCTGAGACACACCCCCGGGATCCCAAGCCCCTTAGGAAAAGCGGTTCAAAGAAGGACGGGCCTCCGAGGCCAGGATGTGCCCCTCGGGTTGCTCCCGGCGCACACGGCGCCCGCTCCAGACCAGCCGTTCCCGGAGGCAGCTGCGGCTCAGACCCTGGCCGAGTGTTTCCGCGCGGGGGGATCTCCTTTCCGCTGTGGAAGCGGCTCCCGCGGGTCTCCCGGAAGAGCCGGGGGGCAGGAAGTGGCAGAAAGCCCCGCCCCGGGGAACTCGCCGCCGCTTCCGGTCGGCGCCGCCGCTTCCGGTCCGGGCCGTGTCTCAGCTTCAGCCTTCTCCCCTTCTCTGACTGGCTACCTGGGGGAGGCCGCTGAAGAGGGCAAAGCCCGCCGGGCGCGAAGGGAACGGCAGCCGAGTGCTGGACTCGGACCTAGAGGAGGGCATGATGGCCGAAGAGGCGACAGACTCCGCAGCCTGCCGGCGGTTGCTGCTAAAAACAAAAGGCACGTCCAAAACTGTCAGATAGTGAGCGGCGCCTCGGTGGAAGAAACTTAACACAGAGTGACCGGCTGGAGCGTTCCTCACAAAGGATGCTGGCCCCCGGCTCTCGGACCTCGGGCTCCTGTCATGTAGTGGTGATGCCCCTTGACAGTTTCTTAGGGATGGGCCAGGGTCAGTCAAATTTCATGCACAGTGGGAACTCAGTGGTGTGCGGTCCCTTCCCCCCAGGTCAGCTACGAGACACTCGTGATTTGCCTCGGGTGCCGGGGGAGGGGGCGCACCACGTAGCTACATGGGAAGGGGGTGAGAACTGTCCACTTGTATTTTTTTTTAATTTTTTAAAAAGATTTTATTTATTTGAGAGAGAGCACATGAGAGGGGAGAGGGGCAGAGGGAGAAGCAGACTCCCTGCCGAGCAGGGAGCCCGATGCGGGACTCGATCCCGGGACTCCAGGATCATGACCTGAGCCGAAGGCAGTCGCTTAACCAACTGAGCCACCCAGGCGCCCTGAGAACTGTCCACTTTTAAAGTGCAAGTAGATATGCATCTTTTATGAGGTTTGAACAAAAACCCCATTGTGTGTGAATGTGTAAGTACCCCAAACCTGATCATCTAACAAGCATTTCTCGATCACCTGTGTGCCAGATCCTGGGCTATGGGCTGGAGATGCATCAATGAACACACACACACACACACACACACACACACACACACACACACCCCTAAGTCACAGGGATGTACTGTACACCATGATGACTATAGTTAATAATACTGTGCTGTAAATTTAAAAGTTGCTGAGAGTAGATCTTAAAAGTTCTCATCACAAGAAAAAATGTTTAATTCCAATCTATGTGTGGAGATGGATGTTAATTAGACATATTTTAGTGATTTTATATACATATATAAAATCATTGTTGTACACCTAAACAAATACAATGTTACATGTCAATTATATTTCAATAAAATAAAGAATAATACCACGATGTTCACTATAATTACTTCTATTGAATGGGTATTGAAAGTTCTAGACAGTGTAATATAAGAGAAAGAAATTACAGACATAAGCTCTTTAAAAGAAGAAATGAAATTTATTGCAGGTGATATCATGATTTAGATTGAAAACACAAAAATTCTACAGACAAGGGACTTCTCCTATCAAATATCAGCAATTATACAAAATCATAATCATTAAGACAATGCGCATGGATACAGTATGGGTGCAAGGATAGTTATATCAAATAGGCATTGGCTAGTGGACTAGAATAATAAGCCCCAAATCAAACCTACATGTGTGTATAACTTTGGTATTTCACAGTTTATATAAAAATCAACTCCAAAAACATGGTATTGTTGGAGGAGGTCATCAAGAGAATGTGACCACTGGTTGATCCTCAAGCTGGACCTGGGCAACTTGACAACTGGCAATGTAAAGGACACAGCCTTGAGAGAATAAGATGTTGTTGAGACCCTCTGGACTGAGTATGTAACTGAGCCCAGTTAAGGCCTCTATAAAGACTTTTAAGGATGGATGTGGAGACCTACTTATTTTGTGGCCACCCAAGACAAGCCTCACATGTAAGTTCCCTTGTTTATTTAACCTGACAACCAATCTAGAGCGATCTGCCTCTTTCTTTGGTCTCTCCTTGCCCTCTATATGGGGCCCAGTTTTAAATTTCACCTGGGGAATGCTCAAGGTTGCAAATAACGGAATAAAATAGAATATCATTCAGCCTTTAAAAGAAAGGCAATGCTGGCACATGCTATAACAAGGATGAACCTTAAGGATATTGTGATAAATAAAATAAGCCAGTTGCGGGGTGCCTGGTGGCTCAGTTGGTTAAGCGTCTGCCTTCAGATCAGGTCATGATCTCAGGGTCCTGGAATCAAGCCCCACATTGAGCTCCCTGCTCAGTGGAGAGTCTTGATTCTTCCTCTCCCTCTGCCTCTGCCCCCCACTTGTGCTTGTGCTTTCTCTTTCTCTCTCTCTCAAATCAACCAATCTTTAAAAAAAAAAATAAGCCAGTCACAAAAGGACAAATGTTGTAAGATACTATATATACATTTTTTAAAAATTGCTATCATCTCTAGTAACAATATTTGCTTCTTCCTCCCAATTATATTGATTGTTGTGTTTTCTGACATCACATCATGGATTAATGTATTGATAAATATTTGGGGTAAAAATAAAAATAGTTGGTTTTCCATTGATTTGGTTTGGTTCTTCCTTTCAATGGGAAGTCTCTCAGGCCCTGGTTTGAGTACTTAAGCTGGCCCAGCAGTCACTATGTCTCAAAGTGGCCAAAGGACTTTTAAGATCTGAAAATGACTTTTAAAAAGGAAACCAATTGGTGGCACCTGCTTAAGATTTCATCCAAGGGTAAAGCACAATCTGTTCCCCAGTTGGGACTTTACTATAGTGAATGGGTAAGAATAAAGTTGTTTCTCTTTTTGACAAAGCCCTGGATGGGCTCTGATTCCTAATGCACTTCCCTCAATGCAGGGGGATTCAACAACAATGTTCTGGCCTTCGTGTCTGCCATTGAGGAGATCAATAGGAATCCCCTTTGGTTAAACCACACAATTTTAGGATATCATGACTACAATGCCTACCACGGTAATCAAAGCAATTTGGAGAGCACCCTGATGTGGCTTACAGGAAGGGGAAAGACTGTACCCAATTTTATCTATGAGAAACAGAATAGGTTCATGGCCATCACTTTAGGAACAGCATAAGCCATTTTTGCACAGATTTGGGGTAGGTGGAGGAAAGACACTATTGGAATTGTACAAATCCCCACAGGTTCACTTGAAGGTAGGTTGGAGAGAGGAAGGGATGAAGTGTTTCCTCAGTACTATGCTCTTGCAGCTTAACAGTGTATGTAGGAACTAGACCTATGCAACTTTTCCCAGGGAACAACTAGAAAACACTGTATTCTTGATGTGGGGAGCCCTTTATGTAAGCTAGAGATGAGATGTTAGGGGATAAAACAGAAAAACCAAGCATTACTGATTTAAATAAGTATCAATGACTTCCAGGAAAACTGCTTTCCTGGAGTTACCTGGAGTTACCTGAGTTTTTTAGGTAACTCTTAGAAGAAAAACAGATAATGAAATAGGAACATTTTCTCCCTTAATTCTTTTTGCTAATCACCTTCCTGAAATTCTATACATTTTTCCTGGAGTTCTTATAGGTGATTGTCTGGTGATGTTACTACCTACAATGTTCCCCACTGCATTATTAACAGTAGTTGAAAAATGGACCCTGCTTTTCCCTTTTCATTCAGATCACCTGTGATTTTTGTCACTTTCTGATTGCCAAAGGTCAGTTTTCATCTCTGTTTTTGATGGCTTTCACGGATGTTTCTTTGGCCCTGGGCATGATGGCATTATCACTGCAGTTTAGCTGTACCTGGCTGGGCCGTTTGCCTCAGATGTTATGAAAGATGAGCAGGTTCTCTTGATTTAAGGGAGGAGATGGTTAGGAGCAATATCTGTACAGCTTTACCAGGTATGCCTGAATTACTGAGTGATTCCAATTATTGTTATAATGAACTTCACTTCCAGAGTCATAGATTCACCAACCAATGTTGGTTGTTTATGGGGACATCAGTACACTAATAGGCTCCATACAGCTGCACTGAACACTATAACAATATGAGAGGTGTAGATTATGACTGCATTGTGGGATTTCCCTACCAGCAAGAAAGAGTTCATGCCATTTTCAAAGGGACTCTTTTTCATGTCTGAACCATGACACTCCTGGTTTAAACATTTCTATAGACAGCTGATCCTTCTAAATACACAGATTTTTTTCCTTGGCGGAATCACGGCCTTTCTGTTTCCAGTGCTATTTTTTTTCTGGTTTTGACCGTGAAGCTTTAGAGCGATGTTCACTGGCTGCTTCCTTGAGGATTATGCCTTTGTACCCTTTACACAGGACCATTGTGGATGCCAGTTACATGGTCTACAATGTCCTTCATTAGATGCTCCTCATTGAAACAGAAGTACACTATGTGGAGAATGCTGAGAGTTTACAGTTTGTTCCCTGATAGGTAATGATTCCTATTATTTTCTGTAGCCCCAAGTCTGTAATTTATGGGGTACATGATCCTCACTGTGAAGTCCTGAAAAGTTCAAAGAGCTCAGGTAAAAATAGGTTGATGTCCTCTCTC